GGGAACTGGGGGAAGTGGGGAATCAGGAGTTATTGTTTAATGGGTACAGAATTTCTGTCTAGGAGGATGAAAAAGTTCTGGAAATAGTGGTGATGATTACACAACATTGTGAATGTACTTAATGCCATTTAACACTTAAAAATGGTTAAAATAGGCCAGGCATGGTGGCCCATGCCTATAATCCCAGCACCTTGGGAGGCCAAGGCAGGAGGATCGCTTGAGCCTGCGAGTTCAAGACCAGCCTGGACAACAAAGCAAGACGGCATCTCTACAAAAAATTTAAAAATTAGTCAGGCATGGTGGCACATGCCTGTAGTCCTAGCTACTCAGGAGGCTAAGCCAGAGGATCGCTTGAGCAAGGAGTTAGAGGCTGCAGTGAGCTGTGATTATGCCACTGCACTACAGCCTAGGCAACAAAGTGAGACCCTGTCTCAAAAAAAAGGTTAAAATGGCAAATTTTATGTTATGTATATTTTACTACAATAAACAAACAAAAACCCTGGGTGTCATTCTGATTCCTAACTCAAGAGCCAAATCCAATCCATCAGGAAGTCTTAGTGATCCCACAATATACCTTGTACGGTATTTGCCTCCTCTCTATTCTCAGCTTCCTCACCAGAGTCCAAGCCACTACCATTTCAACTCGGGCACTGCAACAGTCCCCCCAGCCGGTTCCCCACACTTTCCTTCGCATCTTTCAACGCATTCCACACATGACAGCAACACAGCCTCCAAAGCTCCACTTGTTATGCCTCCTGCCTACCCCTCTGATTTGAACAAATCCCAGTCCCCTCTATGACACACTGTTCTCTTTCAGGTCCTCGCACTAAGCCAAGTTCCTTCAGGCCTCAGAGTTTTTAGATCTCACATACTGTCTCCTCTTCCTGGCCTACTTTTCCTCAGTATTTAGATCCTTCTCATTTTTCAGTCTCAAATGTCACCTCCTTAGATGTTCCCTGACCACCCTATCAAAAGCGGGTCCCCCTCCTCACCATTTTCTCCATAACAACAAACAATTTGCCTCTATCAATGCACTTAACACATTTCTAATTATGTTTGTTTATTCATTTGTCATTTGGCTCCCAGGATTACAAGCACCAGGATGGCAGGGACAATGTGTCATTTGTTTTAACAAATGTTAAATTTGTATACCCAGAGCCAGGTATGAGGCTGGCACATAGTAGGCAGTTTAAAATGTTTGTTGAATAAATGAATGGTGTCAAGTCCTCTATAATAAAAATATTCCATTGAGATTTTGGTTGGGGTTGTAGGTTAAGGGCAGCTTCAAAGCTGAGGAAAACACAGTTTTGATAAGTTTAAAAAAATACAACAGTGAACCCCTCGAAGACTGTTGAGCACAGCATTAACATGAAGTAAATGGTGATAGGGTTGGATTGGGGGAAGATCCTGCAGTCTGGGAGGCTGTGGTTTCTCCCCCCTTAACTAGTTAGAAAACAAACAATGGCAAATGAAGCAACTTGACTTGAAAGTCAACATTTGCTATTATAAAATAGGAACTTCTCGAAGACAACCACGAATCCATCCTGCACTTTGTTCTGAGAACATTTCTCTTCTTTCCTCTTCATTCCTCTCTTACCTTTGTGTCTTGGGGTTGGAGTATAAATACTTGCAACCTCTTCAGAGTCGTTAATCTCTAGACGTTCATCATATGTCTGGTTTTCAACAGTCTTGGTCTAAGCAAAAGGAGACATGATTACAAACCTATTATGGAACACTAAGCGCTCAGCCAGGAGACAAATTCCAAACCAGTATGGTTCCTCCTCCTTACCCTAGAAACCGGTTTTACATAAAACCTTCACCCCCATCCAAACTTCCCTTAAGGCTTCTTGGCCCCACGTCAAGCAGTTAAGTCATGCTGCTGCAGCCCTTATTTAGGAACTGCTGGCAGACTGGCTGAGGAACGAGAGAATCATGGAGGGAAACGACAGCCAACCTCTGCAGCAGATCCCCAAAGCTGTAAGATACACACGCATGGGTGGAACAGTATTCGTGTATAGATGGTGGCTTTCTTCTCAGGTTGGTCGGTTTTCCCAAG